ATTTTTTTAGAAAATCTTTTTTCAGGTTTTTTGTAGTTAATATGATAGGGAAGAAAAATCGACAATTAAGATTGATGATTTTTCAGTTCACTCTGTATACCATTTATTTAACGAAAGAAAAAATATTCGAAAAACAGTCCATGAGCGTTCTGAACGGTGCAAATCTGATCTAAAAACAGTTATTATTGATTAGTCGTTTGTTGATCCTCAAACAAACTCTATACTGTTAATATAGTATAACTTTGGAACAGGGAAACGGTCATTTAACGACTAATTAATAATATAAAAATGGACTATTATCTGCATCATTTTATTCGTCCTAGGTATTTTATATAATCAAAAACAGTTTCTCTACTTACTAACTCATCGAACATTTCTCTTTCCATTCTGGTATTATCTTCTGAATCTTCACCAAGATAATAATAATAACATGTCATTGTCAAATCATCAATAATGACACTTTTCGTTTTCGAACCAATACTACAGTATGGTTTTATATTCTGTTTATTTGGTAAACTATATTGATATATACAAATCATATTTAAGCGTTTTAGTTCGTTTTTTCTTATAATAAATCGAATAAGATTTACTTTAACAGCCGGTGGTTTGAAAGCATCAAATTCATCATCTTTTGGACTATAGAGAATGGAAAAATGGATTTGATCATTTGAATCATTTATCACTGGCGTTTGATAATACCATGGTTGAACGCCATGCTTTACATGATAACTTTTAATTCGAACCTCAACAGGTATATAACGACGAGTATCAGAGTGAATATCGAACATAATCGATTCTTGAATATTCTGAGAAAAAACATAAGACGCATACAAGACGATTTTGCTCAAAATTATTTGATATCAAATAGCCATACTTGAAACTTTAACTATATTGACAAAATAGATGAGTGACGAGTTCAAACCTTTTTTTTTCAAAATCGTGGTTTATTAGAGTTCAAAATTTTTGGATCTAACCGGAGCAATTTAAGTCAATAAAAGTCTAGAAATAGAATCCAAAGTTTTTTGTATGTCTCTATTGATTCTTGGATGATATATCTATCATTGAAAGATTAGATTTTTCCAAGATATTTTGGAATCGTTTGAAAAAAAATTCTAGTCCAAAAACTTTATCTCAAAATTTTGCTTTTCGAGTCGAGTTTGAATGTGAATCTGTCATGATTTATTCTGTAATCTTGAGTAAAGCCAGTTTTTGTCAAAATTTGAACGAACAACGGTAAAGTAATGATAAAATTATAATAGTAGGACTCCATCAGATATAATCGTGCAATAAACTAATGGTTCATATTTAACGCACAATGAAAAACCATTTGGCTCAGCTAATCTTAATGATTTTTCGTAGCTCACTGAGACAGGATCTAGTAGCGGTTCTGAAACAGGTATTTCTTTTTTTTTCAATAAGTACATAAAATCAAGATCCCACTTCGT